TTGTCAATTAAACTGGTTTGCTTTCTTATCATTTATGTGTTAGCTGGAGTAGCTCTTTTAATTTCCTTCAAGAACTTTACCTTTATATTCACAATGTGGCTAACTGTTGGTTGGTACAAGAAGCTCAGATTTTGGCCCATCTCAGCTTTCAATATTCTTTCCTCACTAAGCTTAATAATTTTGTGCTTTTTTAAAAAAATCAGAACAATCTTACCTTTATAAAACTTTTAAAATGAAAATACAGTATCTATTCCAGGGAGAAAGAAACATTCTATGCATATAACCTGCAATGTTGGTGGTACAAACTTTGGATTTAAGCCTGACACAGTTGCAAGTGCTATATATATTTTTAATTTCAATAGATGTAGGGGGTGTAAGTGGTTTTTGTTACATGGATGAATTTTATTGTGTGAAGTCAAGGTTTAGAGTATCCCACCTTCTGAATGTATGACTATGTACATCCACTGGTTACCTTCCACTTACAAGTGAGTACACTGGTATTTGTTTTTATATTCCTGAGATGTTTCACATAGGATAATGACTCTCAGTTCCACCAAAGTTACTAAAAAAGACATCGTTTCATTCTTTTTTTCCCCCTAAGTAGAATTTCATGCTTTATGTAGATACCAAATTTTTCTTTATCCACTCATCTGTTTATTAACACTTAGGTTGATTCCATATCTTTGCAATTGTGAATTGTGCCCCAATATGAGTGCATGTGTCTTTTCTTTTGAATATATATATTTGTGTATATATATAATGAGTTCCTTTGTTGGATCAAACAGTAAGTTTGCTTTTAGATTTTGAGTAATCACCGTACCATTTTCTATAGAGGTTGTACTAATTTACATTCCCACCAAGAATTTATAAGGAATCCTTTTTCACAACATCCATGCCAATGTCTATTTTTTTTTTTTTTTTTACTTTTTCACAATAACCATTCTAATAGGGTAAGGTGATATCTCATTGTGGTTTTAATTTGCATCTCCCTGATGATTAGTGATGCCGAGCATTTTTTCTCATGTTTGAGGGCAATTCATTTCACTTCTTTTAAAAAATATCTTTTTAATTCTTTCCCACACTTTTTAATGGGGTTATTGTTTTTTTTTCCTGCTGATTTGTTTGAGTTCCTTATAGATTCTGAATTAGTCATTTATCAGATGTATAGTTTTCCAATGTTTTCTTCTTGTTTATTTACTCTGTTGATTTTTTAATTTTCTGTGAAGCAATTTTTTAGTTTAATTAACTCCCATTTATTTATGCTTTTTGCTGCTATACTTCATTTTGAGGTCTTAGGTATATATTCCTTTCCTAGGTCAATGTCCAGAACAGTTTTTCTTATGTTTTCTTCTACAATTTTTATGGTTTCAAGTCTTATATTTAAGTCTTTAAATATTTGATCCATCTTGAGTAAATTTTTGTGTACTGTTAGAGATAGGAATCCAGGTTCATTCTTTAGCATATGGCTATACAATTTTTCCAATGCCATTAATTAAATAGGACATCCTTTTCCCAGTGAATGTTTTTGTCACCTTTGTTGAAGATCAGTTGGCTGTATAGGTATGATTTTATATCTGGGTTCTCATAGACACATTGATCTATGTGTCTTCTTTTATACCAGTACTATGGTGTTTTGGCCACTATATTCTTGTAGTCATGTAATTCAAAGTCAGGTAACGTGATGCCTCCAGATTGTGTGTAGCATTGCTTTGGCTATTCAAGCTCTTTCTTTTTTTTTTTTTTTGAGACGGAGCCTCAAGCTATCCCCCTGGGTAGAGTGCCATGGCATCATGCTCACAGCAACCTCCAACTCCTGGGCTCAAGCGAGTCTCCTGCCTCAGCCTCCCAAGCAGCTGGGACTACAGGCGCCCGCCACAACGCCTGGCCATTTTTTGGTTGCAGCCATTATTGTTGTTTGGCGGCCCGGGCTGGGGATTCGAACCCGCCACCTTAGGTGTATGTGGCTGGTGCCTTAGCTGCTTGAGCCACAGGCGCCGAGCCTCTTTTTTAATTTCATTGGAAATTTAGGATTATTTCTAACTCTGTCAAAAATGATGCTGGTATTTTTATGGACGTTGCAATGATTTTGTAAATCATTTTGGACAGTATAAACATTTTAACAATATTGATTCTACCAACCACCAGTGTGGGATGCTTTTCCATTTGTGTCATCAATCATTTCTTTCATAAATGTTTTATACTTCTATTTGTAGAGATCTTTTACACTCTTGGGTAAGTGCATTCCTAGGTTGTTTTGGAAGTTATTGGTAGTGGCATTGAATTCTTAACTTGATTCTTAGCTTAGCTGTTATAACTGTATGGTATTCCTACTGATTTGAGTACATTAATTTTTAACCTGAGACTTTATTGAATTTATTTATCAATTCCAGGAGTCTTCTGCTGGAGTCTTTAGAATTTTCTAGACATAAGATTATATCACTGGCACAAAAGGATAGTTTGACTTTCTTTTTCCATTATTATGATGAATAGAAGTGGTGAAAGTGGGCATCCTTGATTGTTTCAATTCTTAGAGGGAATGCTTTTAACTTTATCTTGTTTCAGATGATGTTAGCTGTGGGTTTGTCATATGCAATTTTCATTATTTTGAGGTATATTCCTATGCCTATTTGGTGAAAGGTTTTTATCATGAAGGATGTTGTATTTTATCCAATGATTTTTCCACATTTATTGAGATTATATGGCTTTTTTTTTTCAATTCTTCATATGGTGAATTACAATTATTGACTTGAGTAGGTAGAACCATCCTTGCTTCACTGGGATAAAACTCACTTGATCATGGGGAATTATTTTTTTAATGTGCTGTTGGAGTAGGTTTGCTATTATTTTGTTGAGGATTTTTGCCCCTATGTTCATGAGGGATGATGGGTTGCGGACTTCTTTCTTTGTGGTGCCCTTTCCTTGCTTTAGTATCAGAGTGATACTGGCTTCATGAAATAAGTTAGAGAAGATTCTCACCCTTTTAATGTCATGGAATAGTTTCAGTAGGACAGTTACATAGCTCTTTGTAGGTCTGGTTGAATTCACCTCTGAATCCATCTACTTCTGGGCTTTTATTTGTTGGGTGATGTTTTACTGCTGATTCAATATTGTAAATAATGAATGGCCCATGCATGATTTCTATTTCTTCTTTATACAAACTTTGGAGGTTGTGTTTTCAAAAATTTATCCACTTCCTCTAGTATGTGAGTATAGAGGTGTTCACAGTAGTCTCTGATGATCTTTTCTATTTCTGTTGGTATCAATTGTAATGTCTCCTTTTTCATTTTTGATTAAGCTTATGTGAATCATCTCTTTTATTTTCTTGGTTAATCTAACTCATGACTTATTGATTTTGTTTATCTTTTCCAAGAACCAACTTTTCTTTTCATTGGTCCTTTGCCTTATTTTTTAATTTCAATTTTTTTTGGGTTCTGCTTTTATGTTTGTTATTTCTTGTCTTCTGCTAGTTTTGGGTTTAGCTTATTTTTTTTGCTAATTCCTTGAGATGTGATATTAAGATGTTAATTTATGATCATTCTATCTTTTTGGTTAAGTAATTTAGTGTTATGAACTTCATTCTCAGCATGCTTTTGTTACCAAGTTACCAGAAATTTTGGTAACTTATGCCACCATTGTCAATTTTTTTAAAATTTCCATCTGGATTTCATTGTTGATCTAAAGATCATTCGACAGCAAGTTTTTTAGTTTCCAGATATTTGTATAGTTTTGAGAACTCCTCCTGGACTTTTTACCATTAAGAAGATAAACACATATCATATTTTTATTTTTTAAATTTGCTGGGACTTGTTTTGTGGTCCAATATATTGTCCATCCTGGAAAAGTTTTCATATGCTTATGAAAAAAATGTACATTCTGCAGTTGTTGGATAGAGTGTTCTGAAAATGTCTATTAGGTCCATTTGTTCTAGAGTCCACTTTAAATCCAGTGTTTCTTTTTGGTTTTCTTCCTCCATGAGCTTTGTTGAAGTCCCACACTATTATTATGTTGCTGTTATTTCATTTTTTAGGTTTAATGGTATTTATTTTATAAATGTGGGTGCTCAAATGTTAAATGCATATATATTTTATATTTTATCTTCTTGTTGAATTGATCTCTTATCATTATACAATGACCTTCTCTGTCTATTTTTACTTTCATTCACTTAAAGTCTGTTTTATCTAATATAAGAATAGCTACCTTTCCTCACTTTTATTTCCATTTGCATGGAATTTTTTTTCCACCTTCTTACATTTTTTTCTACAAGGCTTTTTATGAGTTAAATAGGTTTTATGAAAATAGGAGATATTTGGGTTGTGCTTTGTTACCCACTTTTTCAAACTATATATTTTAAATGAGCACATTTATATTCAATGTAAATATCGATGGGTAAAGTACTGTTCTTGTCATTATGTTGATTGTTACTCAGGTGCTTTGTATTCTCATTTTGTTCCTGTTTTATAAAAGGTGTCAGTGTTTCCTTTACAATGGTGAGTATTGACCATTCTTTTCAATTTTTAGAGAACTTTAGAGCATTTCTTGTAGGGCAGGTCTAGTGGTGACAAATTCTCTTAGTGTTTGATTGCCCCAGAAAGATTTTATTTCTCCTTCATTCATGAAACATAGTTCTGCAAGACACCAAATTCTTGGCTAACACTTAATCTGTTTAGTGTTTTGTGTATTTCTTTTTAAGTTAGTTGATACTTTCATCTTAAAGCTTATAGAATTTCCTCCTTTATGTTGACTTTGACCTGATGACTATAAGCCTTGGTAATATTCTATTTGCCTTATTATTTTCCAGGTTTTGATGACCTTCTTGTATCTGGACATGAAACTCTCTAGAAAGATCAGGTAAATTTTTCTCCTTTATTCTCTCAAATAGGTTCTTCATGCTTGTTGCTTTTTCTTCTTCTCCCTCAGGGATATTTGGACAGTTCACATGATCTCATATGTATCATATACTTTTTTGAATGTTTGTAAGTTAGAAAAAAATAGCAATCTATGTGCTCACTTTGGCAGCACATATACTAGAATTGGAATGATACAGAGAAGAATAGCATGGCCCCTGTGCAAGGATAACAGGCAAATTCATGAAGTGTTCCATATTTTTTTTTAAAAAAATAGCAATCTCTTTAGTGAATTTTTCATTCATGTCCTGAATCTTTTTTTGTTTATTGTGTGCTGGTTTTCAACTTTCTAATTCATCCTATTGAGCTTATTTGTGATCAATAATTTGATATTTAAAAATTTCCTTTCGTTTGGAGTCTCTTTCTGTAAAGCTATTATGATACTTTGCTGGGGGTCAGTTTGCTTTCTCATATTGCCATAGTTTTTATGCTGGTTCCTTCTCTGCTGTCATCTCTTCCCACAGCTTAAAACAAATAGCTTTGTTGTTCATCTGTTCTCCTCAGCCAGGAACTTTGCTATTTAGTATAGAGAGGGAAAGTTACACTAACTTTCAGTTCACGCAGGTAGTTACCCACTGTAGTGTTGTTGGCCTTTTTTGCTGATTGGACCTCAGACCCCTGGGAGAGTGTTCAGGTGCCAGCACTAGTGGACTATGTTAGTTAATCTCAACTTCCCTATCCCCAGTGTGGTATGCTTGAATCCTAAGTGGGTCAAACACACACTAGGCTGACAAACTCGCCTCCAAGACTCCCTGAGTTCAGGCTGACTCTGATAAGAAGTGGCAAGTGATCTCCTGGCATAATGCTCAAGCAGGAGAAGCAGAGATTCAGTGTCAGTATGAGAGGAGGAATGGGCCCCTCTGGATGAAATTGGCAGAGGCAGGCAGCTATGCAGCATACAAGCCACTCATACCTCCCTGTCTTGGAAGTGACAGCAGTTCCTGTCCTTTAGGGGCACAAAAGCACCCATATTCTCAGCTCCCACTCTGGCCCAACTACAGCAGAGGTGGTAGAGATTATGTCAACCCACCATGTGCTTGCTACCAGACTGGCTATGGGCTGTGGCTGAAATGCTCTAGTGAGAGAGTTCTGGGAGTGCCAGGAACTTGCCTCAGGGGATAGTAGGCTCCTTCTGGAAGAGAGAGACAGCAGGGGGAGAGGACTGCTAGCCCTATCCTCCCTCAAAGAAGATAGCAACTTTTGTCCGTAGGCCACACAAAAAAGCTTGCTGTGGATTTTTAGAGGGAAATGAGTCAATTTTAAGCTCCGTGGAAACCTGGGTGTGATAAGGCCTCTGTCAGAGTCCCAGCAACTGAGTGCCCTGGCTTAGTCTCTCCTCTGCAATCCTTGCTTATCCTGAGCAGAAGCAGACTTCAAGTCATGACTGCCTCTAGTAGTGCTTAGTGGAGATGGGGAGGATGAGAGGAGGGTCTTGAATGGTGGGGACTGGTGCTCTGGTCCAAGGGGCCCTCTGGCAAGCTCATTCTCCTCTCAGATGGAAGCATCTCATTCTGAATGCCCAAGTTCCAGGATACCCACAGTTCCCAGGACCTACAGGTCCCCCAAGGCCTCTATCATCCAGGTAGGTGCTAGAGAGTATTGACTGGATCCAGTGATATAGAGATTTAAGGACTAGGATTCCAAGGTCAGAATAGCTGAAAAAACACTGCCTGTCTGTGAAGGGAAAGAAAAGAGCTACACTCTCTGTGCAGAACCCAGGTATAGTGAGAAGAATACTGTTGAGAGTATAGCTCCTATAAACATAGAGCTCTCCGTACCATAGCTCACCTGTGTCATAAGCTCATGCTTGGAAGCAAAGGCAGCTATGTCTACATTGAGTGGCTGGAGGAGGAGCAGTTTCCATCTTTACATTCCTTCCTGGGCTCTGGTGCTGTTTCTGCTCTGGGTCAGGGACACTCTCCTACCCTACAGACTTCTCCTAGTACTCATGCCTCCAGTAGGAGGGGTGCAGACAACTCTGGATCATGAGCCAGCCGCTCTCTGGTGCAGGAGAGTGCATGCTCCACCTTCTTCTGTTCTAAAAAATGTTTGTGGAATTTCCCAGTCCCCTTGGGCCAGCCCACTTTATGGATCAGAACTCCAGGAATAATTCTGCTCTCTTGTATCTCCCTTCGTTTTGTGGCTGTCACCGTCCAAGCAGATACTGGGGAATGTTCTGAGGGAAGATTGAGGGGTTGTGACTTCTCTGGCTTGATAGAAGCACCTGGCATGTGTGTAGGCAATAAACGTGGCACAAGCCATCTCAGCTCAGGTCTGTGATGGGGGGAAGCAACATCATTTGAATCCACAACCTGGTGCTCTCCCAAGAGGCTCTCAATTCACCCAGTGGAAATAACACCAGGATGTGTCAGGGTAGAAGGGCTCTCTGACAGATCAACAGGTTAGAAGCTGGCAGACTGCCATAGGTGCGAGAGGAGAAAACATAAACGCTCCCACCTACTCTTTCTGTAGAGCTCTGAATCCCTTAGTGGTCACTCTGCCAAAATCTTGATCCTTCTTATTCTGTGCCTCCTTCTTATTCTTGTGGGATCTCTAGCAAAGGGTGTGTTCTGGTACCTCTCCCTCAGTATTTCACCTGGGCTATGCTTTTTCAACTGAAACTTTTTCTTTTTGTGGGGGTGATCTGGTGACTGATGTTTCTAGTCAGCCATCTATAGTCTACTACTGCAAGTACTGTCTTATATGGACTACTTTAGAATGGAAGAGTTAGTTCTATTTATGCTAATGATCTTTAGGTTGTATGTTGCTATTAACAGTGAAGGATTAAAGGTGATTTTGTATGAATTGTCAAACTACAAGTTATTATAGTAATGTAAACCCTCCAAAAGGACATCTTGAGTTTTTTATTTAAAGTGAGAGATCTGTGATTCTTCCCTTTACTTGAATGCTTACAAGCCAATATAGGTTTTTTAGTTAGCCTAATTTTAATATTGTCATGTCTCTGGGAATAGGGAGGCACTAGAAAGGGAGAGAGATGGGTGTATGGGTACTGGGTTGAGCAGTTAGAACACATAAAACATTATCCTTAAGTGCAGTTTGCTACACTCCAAAACAGTTACAATAGTAACATCAAAGACCACTAATCTTAGATAACCATAACAGATATAATTTAAAATTTTGAAATGGTGTGAGAATTACTAAAATGTGACACAGAGACACAAAGTGAGTAGCACATGCTCTGAAAATGGGGCCAAAAAACTTACTTGACACACACTTGACACAAATTTTCCATTTGTAAAAAGTACAGTATCTGTGAAGCATGAAAATAAGAAATGCAACAAAACAAGTATGCCTGCACTTTGTTTTACATACCCACTATTCTCTTACATGGCTACAGTGTGGGTTTTTTTTCTTTTTTTAAAAGAGCAACATTGTGAATTTTGGATGCACTAAGTTTTACTTTTTTTATAAAAATAAGTAAATAAACCCTTGAATTCTTTGTATTTAATACACCAAACTACAGACAGTCAGAGATAAACTGAAATTGTTAGTAAATATATAGTCTAGGCTCGGCACCTATAGCTCAACCGGCTAAGGCGCCAGCCACGTACACCTAAGGTGGCGGGTTCGAATCCCCAGCCCGGACCCGCCAAACAACAATGATGGCTGCAACCAAAAAATAGCCAGGCGTTGTGGCGGGCGCCTGTAGTCCCAGCTACTTGGGAGGCGGAGGCAGGAGACTCGCTTGAGCCCAGGAGTTGGAGGTTGCTGTGAGCTGTAATGCCACGGCACTTTACCCAGGGGGACAGCTTGAGGCTCTGTCTCAAAAAGGAAAAAAAAAATATATATATATAGTCTAACACTATCCATTATAAGAAACTGAACTCCAGAGTGGACAAGAAGGTAAGTTAGTGGTTTCCAATTAAATGAATTATCTTTACACCACACTGTCATAAATAAACCATGCCTAGTTATCTGTTCCATTTATCTGGAATAGTATAAAATGGGTCACAGCTGACTCATAGTGTGATATAAGGTTCTTAATTATTAGCTAGTTCTAAAAAATCTCTAACCCTTTGAACATTGGAAAACTCTGCTTTATTGATATGGTAACAAAAACTTCCACTAAGTAAGAGTGAACACCTGCTTATAGAACAATTTACTTTTTCATAAAATTATAGAATTTCTTCACTGTAATAATTTTTTTAAGTTTTAATCCACTTTCAAGCTAACCTGAATCTCCACATGATATCAGAATCTTCTCTATATCACCCACACCTACTGGTCATCTAGGTATTTTCTTAGATACATGCCATTTTGCAGAAGTTTTGAGTGTTAAAAGGAGTTTTTAATGGTGCCAAAATTTAGATGCCTTTGATTTCTCTACCCCTGTCAAGGCAACTACATTTTTATAACGCATAAAATAAATTTTACTTCTCTCTTTTATATCATAGACCTTTGGGAGGTTGGTTAACACATGGCTTCTCCTCTTCAAGCAAAACAGCTCTGACATTTTTAGACATTGTACATAGGACATGTTTGACAGAAGGTGAAACAGAGTGAAAAAGCATACAGTTTTTGACATCATTCTCTGAGGGTTCAAATCCTATAGCCACAACTTACTATGATATTTGCATACTTATTATTCTCTCTGTATCTCAGTTTCTCATCTATAAAAGGGAAATCGTGTTGATTCCATAGTACTGTTGTAAAGAACCAAATAAATAATATGTATAGATCGCTAGGCTAGAATGAACAATCATGTTCCAAACTTTTTATACCTCCCTGTTTAAAATTAAACATCCACACTCTTTACCATCTATGCAGGGTTTGCTACTGTGGATACAGCATACTTCCTTTGATGCTCTTGATATTGAATTTAACCAAATGACTTGCTCTAGCCAATGGAATGTTAGCAGAAATAATGTAATCAGAAACTTTAAACATACTTGCATGGTTTGCTTGCTCTCTTATATTCTAATGATCTTCTATAAGAATATGAGGTCTGACAATTAAGTTCATGAACATGCCACTGTGCTTACATTGGCAGCACTGTACAAACAACTGGGTATGTCAGCATCTCACAGCTGTGTTAGTGTCAAGGCATGGTGGTGTCTTACTAAGTGATGTTCATTATTGTTGTTGCATTTTTTTGTATTCCATCATGAGAATGTCAGAGTGTGAATTAGAGCAATGAAGAAACATTTGAAAATTTATTGTTAAACTTGTCAAGAGCAGAAGT